GGGGATTGCAGGGTCATATGGGAGGTCGATATTTAGAGCTTTTAGGAATCGCCACACTGTTTTTCCACAGAGGTTGCACTAGTTTGCACTCCCACCAACATTGTAGAAGCATTCCCTTTTCGCCACACCCTCTCTAGCAACTGTTATTTTTTGAGTTATTGATAATTGCCATTCTGACTGGAGTTAGGTGGTATCTCAGTGTGGTTTTGATTTGCCCGGCGCCAAGCCGCCAGTCACCCAGGGAGGCTCTAGGCACCCGCCCCTCAGAGATACCAGCTCCATTTCTGGCTGAAGTGCCCTGTGAGGGGCCCACCCTGGCTGAGGCACCCAGCGTACGACCCCATGCTTGTGTAGGGGAACAGCATATCTTAAGGAGGTGCTGATCAGCCGCTCTCAGCTCCAGAGGAGGGAACTTGCAACTTTCTCACCAGATCCAGCACCCAGCTGTGCATTTTCTGTTTTTACAGGAAAGGAGACAGGAGTAAATAGGAGCAGACAGGGGCACGTTTGTGATTGGGTGGCAGGTCAAGAGAGGGTCTCTCTCTGAAGGTAGCCCCGGAGAGAAGTAAGACCGAGGGAGGGTTGAGGGGAGAGAGTATACGTTGACAGTCTACCAGGATCACATAGTAGGACTGTCAGGGAGCTCCAGGTGCAGGCTACCACCCAGGTGTCATGTCCTCAGTGGAATGCCGTCGCTCGGTGCCGGTACTGGGAGAGGGAGTTGAACTCGGTCGGTTGGGATTTAGAGGACGGAGTGAACTGGTGGCAGCACAGGTTGAATATCCCTTATTCAAAATGCTGGAGGCCAGAAGTGTTTCCAATTTGGGATTTTTTTCAGACGTTGGTCTGTTTGCATTATATATTTGCCAGTTGAGCTCAACCTGTCCTTTGCAAGGGAGTTATTCTAATGTAATAAAGCACTTGAGGTAGGGCCCTTGGCAGGGTGCCAAAGTTGGGTGTCTCTGATCCATTGCTGGAAGCCTGAGTGGAGACAGAGGCTGGGGGAAGAGTTTGGGAAACCATGGGTGGCCATCGCCCTCCCACACTGATATACCATAGCCCTTCTCTGCCTAGACCATGAAAGAGATTGGACATTGTTTGTTGAAGGGGTCTATCCTCTTATAGAATTGTGCAGATGACAACGTGAGGTCTTGAGGTGAAATAATTTGTCCACATATTCACAGTGAATGTGGTCAGAGCTGGAAGTCACAGCCAGGGCTAGCTCTCTGTGTACTCTCCACTCCACTGGTGTTTGTCGTGTCGTATGGCTGTGTGACTCATAAATGTTTCCATTGTAGATTCTTTCAGTACTCAACGATGGAACTCTGAAATGACAGAGCAGATGGTTTTCTGTTAGTGAATTTTTGGAAGATGTTTGGGAGACAGTCTGATTCTCTGGTTTCTAATACTTCAGTCTAAATGACTCAAAATGTTATCGTTTTTTAACTCAAATCCTTTAGAACTTGGAAAAAAGACATATCTTCAAGGCTCTGTACTGAAATCTGAAATCATCGATTGTACACAGTATGTTTTATAGATGAATCAATCACTTATGTTGTCTTATTGATTCTTTCACAGATTCCGTACGGAAATACGTCAGAACTTATTTTTAACGCAGTGCACGTAAAAGATGCAGGCTTTTATGTCTGTCGAGTTAATAACAATTTCACCTTTGAATTCAGCCAGTGGTCACAGCTGGATGTTTGCGACATCTCAGAAGTAACAGAAAGCTTCCGGGGTAAATGATAAAAGAAGCTGAATGTTGGAGTGGGATTGCCTTATTTTACTATATTTTAGATGTTTACTTTTCAATAATTTCAGAGTGTCAAAAATAGTGCCAAAAGCTCACGTATGTACTTCATCCAGTGTGGTGTCAGCAGTTGTTAAAATTTGATCTGTGTGCTTTGATCGCCTTTCTCTGTATACACATACACCCTTACACACACACACACACACACACACACACACACACACACACACACACACACACACCCTAGTGATATCCCTTCCATATTCGTTTGGTGCTAAGAAAAAAACTTCTTTCAGTAAGTCAAAGAGCAGCATGTAGAGGTTTTCATGTTGGATCTGAATGTCACTCAAGGTGTCAATACATTGTTTGTCCCCATCAAAAAGATTCCGCAGCCAAGCACGTTTGGAAAACACTGAACTATTTTCCCTTCTTTAACTCACAGTGTGTACTAGCACTTTGAAATCTTTGAAAATTCCAGCACTAATATGTTTAACCTTATTTAACCCAACATTTTCTAAATGTGTTTGTCCACATTCTATTGTCTATAGAACATCTGTTAATATTTCTGGGAGCGCCATAGTTTTGTGAAAGCTAGTTTGAGAAATTTTAAATTATAGGAAAAATGTGTTTCTGTTTTTAACCTAAAGTTGTTATTGTTGCTCTTTTTTAATTTAAGGAAGTTTCGATGGCCTCTCTGAATCCAAGCTGCAAATCTGTGTTGAGCCGAGGTCCCAAAAGCTGATGCCAGGCAGCACCTTGGTCTTACAGTGCGTTGCTGTTGGAAGCCCTATTCCTCACTACCAGTGGTTCAAAAATGAATCACTATTGGTACATGAGACAAAGAAGCTATACATGGTAGGAAGTTATTTTGGAGGTATTTGGGGGAATTAATATGTAAAATAAATGGTGCAATTGAAATTTAAGGTGATCATCAAAACTCATATTTTTGGGGGTGTTTTCATGCTTTTAATATTTTTATGTCAAGTCCCTTGTGCTTTAATATTAATTAGCTCTTATATTTGCGAAAGTGGGCTTATAGGTACAGTGTCAAATGATATTGCCTCAAACTCACTGTTATTGGAATCATAATTGGCTTCCTGTTATTTAACCTAGTGAATCGAGCTACTCTAGCAATGTCTAAAACCTTCTGGACTGTTATGTTTTGGAGGTTTTTTAAAACACAGAATGACTTTTTCAAGCCAGTTGAAATTGAAATTGAAGAAGAAATGTGTACATCTTCTGATATTGATATAGGTGCCTTATGTGGATTTGGAACATCAAGGAACCTATTGGTGTCACGTGTACAATGATCGAGACAGTCAAGATAGCAACAAGGTAGAGGTCATCATAGGTAAGCCGTATTCCTTACTGTTCTGACACATGGACTATACTATACACTATGTGGACTGAAACATTTAAGCAAAGGAAATTCTACTACTTTTCACCCCATGCTACTTAAGGGTGTGTTAAGTGTCAGGAGTTATATTTTTATATTGAAATTTGAGAGAATGCATACTAAATTCATCATGTAGGTTCACATACAAAGAACAAAAGGAACCCAAAAAAAGTGATCTGTTTTATTCAGATCACTTTAGTTAATTTTTAATTTTGTGGTTTATTTTAAACATATGACAGAATTGTGTTTTATAAAGTTTTAACTATGAAAATCTTGATTTAATGGAAAAATTTTGTGTGTGTGTGTCTCCCTTACCAACCATAGAGTTAGATGTTCAGTATATGCTTTTTTCCTTTTTCTTTTCTTTTTTTTTTTTTCTAAGAGACAGGATGTTGCTGTGTTTCCCAGGCTGTACTTGAACTCCTGGGCTCAAGTGATCCTCTTGCCTCAGTCACTGAGACTAAATGTTTAAAATGTTTAAAAACAAACATTATAGGAAAAAAGGATTACTAATCAACAGTCTTCCAAAATGAACTGCATAATTTGGGAATTTGTTCTATTTAAGCTTTAATAGTCAGAGATGTTGATGCACATGTTGGTTTGCCAACATAGCTCTATGGTATTTATCTCTGCTTATTTAATGGGTGCCCTTCCTGAGATCATGATTTTCAATATATTCACATTTGTTTTCTCTGAAACAAGGAAGAACAGTTGAGGCAGTGGAATGCACTGAAGGTAGTGTAATTCTGTGGTTTGAAATCAAATCTCCTGCATGCTGGTTACTCTTGGGATTGGTGGAATGCTGGTAGCTTACTTAACTGAGTGCAGTGATGGAAAAAATACTAGCTCTGAGAAATTATTTTGGTTGAAGCATATTGTATCTTAGTCTTTGGAGTTTTATAAATAGCCACAGACACTATGAAATTGTCACACTATTAAAATAACTAATCTGTAGTTGACTTGCTGCTGTTTATAAGGACAAAGTTCTGACATAATATCTTTTGGATAGCGAACATTTGCAGCTAATTCTTAATGTTAATTTGTATCTACATAAAATTTGTAAAAACAATAGGTGGCTATAGATACTGTCATGGATATTTGTTTAAATCATTTCATGTATCAGGTAGCCACGATAAGATGCTTCTCAAGTGCAAATACAGTTTCTATAAAAGTTCCAAGAGGTCGGGCTTGGTGGCTCAGCCTGTAATCCCAGCACTTTGGGTGGCTAAGGCGAATGGACTGCCTGAGTCCATGGGTTCGAGACCAGCCCCAGCAACTTGGTGAGACCTCATCTCTACATTAAACCAAAAATTAGCTAATGTAGCACACACCTGTAGTTCTGGCTACTTAGAAGGCTGAGGCGGAAGGATTGCCAGAGCCCGGCAGGTCAATGCTGAGGTGGCTGTGAGCGTGCTACTGCACTCTAGCCTGGGCAATGGAGTGAGACTCCAACTAAAAAAAAAAAAGTTCCAGGCGACTGATCATTTAACACATGTTTTATCAAATATTAACTATTCTATTTTAATATAAAATTGGTAAAGTTTTTTTTTAACGCTATAAGGCTGTAGATTAATCTACCATATCACATTATAATGTATAAAGACAACTGAAAAAAAATTTTTTTTTTTTTTGAGTTGGAGTCTCACTCTGTTGCCCAGGCTGGAGTGCAGTGGCACACTCACAGCCACTGCAGCCTCAACCTGCTGGGCTCAGGTGATCTTTCCACCTCAGCATTCCAAGTAACTTGAACCATAGACACACACTACCACACTCGGCTAATTTTTTATTTTTTGTAGAGACAAGATCTCGCCATATTGCCCAGGCTGGTGTCTCGAACCTGTGGGCTCAGGCAGTCCTCTCGCCTCTGCCTTCCAAAATGCTGGGATTATAGGCATGAGCCATTGCACCCAGCTAAAAATATTTCAGCATAAATTTCTAGCTTGTTTTAATTAACTAAAGCATTGTACTTAAATTGTAATCGTAAATATTAAAACTTGGATTATGTGTTCTTAGTGTAATGTCACATTGTTTTGCAAAATTAGGTCTGTGGACAGCAAAGTATTTTTTCAATTTCTGCCTCTTTATTACATAACCGTTAGGCTCTACTTGGGTAAAGTAAGAAAATAATGTTAACTCTTGGGTTACCTGGTTTTTCCTGTCTTTTGTGTCTCTGTGGTATCACTTTGAAATGCTATAATTACTGTTTTCATCCTAATACATAGTTGTGAGCAAGAATTATGTCATACAAGGAAGTTCTAATCCCATGATCAGTTAACCCTACATGAGGGAAGCCATGTGAAGAAATCCTCATCAAACTCCTCTTCCTTTCTTAATTCTTGTCTGATTACTTGGTTTTTAAAACTTCCTGACATTGGAGACCTCTAAGAATAAGTAAAAGGTAGTTTCTGTTTAGCTTCAGGGTGATGCACGTGAGTTATCACTTTGCTGCTTCTATACCTGCGAGATTCTCTACATAACTTTTGCAGTGGCAAGCATACTATTAAACAATAAGTTTCAAATAATTCTATTCAGAACACATAGAGATGAAAATCCAGCTGTGCAGTTGCTTCAAAAATTTCAGTTGCAAAAATTCACAAAGTTGAGACATTGTATATGAACAGTCTCCTTTTTTTTTTTTTTTTTTTTTTACTTATAAAGCATGGTATCCTCTATTTCATTTTGTTAAAGATACTTGCTCAGACTATTCAACCATTAAAAAAAAAAGAATGAAATCCTGTCATTGGCAGCAATGTGAATGGAATTGGAGGTTATTTTGTTAAGTGAACATAATAACAGACACAGCAAAACAAATATCTCATGTTCCCACTCATCTGTGGGAGCTAAAAAAATTGATCTCACGGAGGTAGAGAGTGGATTCATGGTTACCAGAGGCGCGGAAGGGTTGGGAAGATAAAGGGGGGTTGGTTAATGGGTGCAAACATATAGTTAAATAGAAAGAGCAGCCAGGCTCGGTGGTTCAGCCTGTAATCCCGTGCTTTGGGAGGCTGAGGTTAGTGGGTTGCCTGAACCCGCAGGTTCGAGACCCGCCTGGGCAACTTGGCGAGACCTCATCTCTACAATAAATCAAAAAATTAGCCGGCCGTGGTAGCGCGCACCTGTAGTTCCAGCTACTTGGAAGGCTGAGGCGGAAGGATCACTGGAGCCCAGCAGGTCAAGGCTGCGGTGGCTGGGAGCGGCCACTGCACTCCAGTCTGGGTGACAGAGTGAGACTCCAACTCAAAAAAAAAAAAAAATAGAAGGAACAAGTTCCAGTATGGGCAGCATAGTAGCATGACTGTAATTAACAGTTATTCACTGTATATTTCAAAATAGGTAGAAGACAAGAGTTGAAATGTTCCCAACTCAAAGAAATGATAAATGTTTGAAGCAGATGGATATCCTTAAATACCCTGATTGGCTCATTACACATTGTATGCTTGTATCAAGATATCACTTGTATCCCATAAATATGTGCAATTACTATATATCAATAAAAAAGAGAACTTGATCAGGATGGGGGGTGGGGTTGAACGGGTGGATATTTTTTAGGGCAGTGAAACCATTCTGTATGACTAACTGTCATGGTGAATACATACATGCTAGTTTTAAACAATCACTTAGGTCAGAAGAGGGGACCCCCAGATGGAACGCAGACTGTGAAAAAAGAATCCAACTATATTACCAAGTTATGAGGCAGCCTCATCGAAGAGGGGTGCGGGAGTAGGGTGCTGCTGGCCTGAACATCTGGAAACGAGTCTGGTCTGTGAGACCGGAGGCAAAAGCAGTTGCAGTCACCCCGTGCCCAACTGCTTGATTTTATGTCACATCTGAGAACAAAGTTCCTCTTAAAATCTCACGAATAGTGTAACATTTGTAATTTATTGTCAGTGTTAATTTTTGTCTTCATAGCATTTGTAAGTTGGCTGTCGTGTCGTGAATATCTGCTCGTTTTACCTGTTCATCACCCACCATAGATGTCCCACAGGGAGGTTTAGGTCAATTCTGAAACCACTGTCTCTCCCCAAAACACATTATGTTTTGAGAAACCATGAGTCTGACCACCAGAAAAACATCAGAGAAATCCTAGTGAATGAGTTACTCCTCAAAACTGTCAACGTGACCGGTTTGGTGGCTCAACCTGTCATCCCAGCACTCTGGGAGTCTGAGGCAAGTGGATTGCCTGAGCCTGTGGGTTCAAGACCAACCCGGGCAACTTGGCAAGATCTCATCTCTACAGTAAATGAAAAATTAGCCAGGTGGTGGTAATGCACACCTGTAGTTTCAGCCACTTGGAAGGCTGAGGCAGAAGGATCGCCGGAGCCTAGCAAATCGATGCTGGGGTGGCCATGAACAGGCCACTGCATTCCAGCCTGGGTGAAGGAGTGAGACTCCAACTCAAAAAAAAAAAAAATACTGTCAATATCATCACAAACAAGGAAAATCTGAGCAACTGCCACACCCAAGAAGAGCCTAAGGAGACATAGTCAATGTAATACGGTATCCTAAGTAAGTTCTGGAACAAAAAAGAACACCAGTGGTTTATTAGCTGTGACAAATATACTGTACTAACAGATGTTTATGATAGGAAGACTACGTGTAGGGTATACAGAAACTGTCCGTACTGTCTTCACAGTAGTTCTGTAGACCTTAAAATGTTCTACAGTTGAAAGTTTGTTTAAAGAAAGACCATTTGAGATTATTAATTAGTTTCAGGAAGTTTATAGTTTAGGTCACAGACAAACCTATCTTGTCTGTTTTTAATTGGCCAGAATAGCCAAAACTGAATAAAGTCTGAATGAGCTTAGTTTTTATCATTTAATGAAAACAGTAATAACTTGGAAGTCCTGAGTGGTAAGCACAGCGATATTCTTTCTTATTCAATATTCACATGGCTTCTTCATTTAACTTGAAAAGTCCTAAACTGATAAAGCATTATAGCATGATTTAACAGCTCAAAACTACTTCCTTGATTAGTCTTACTGTTTGTGCTAAATGGGCAGTTAGATTACTTGAAGTTAATTTTTTGTTATTTCATTTTAGATGAATTAAATAATCTCGGGCATCCTGGTGAGTAGTACAAATGTAAAGCTTTAATTTTAGAGTTTTAAGTTGTTGAATACAGTAAACTCTTTTGTAGATATTCTTTTGCCGTAGTAATATTGGTAACTTTTTTCTTACTGAAATAACATAATTTAATGTTGAAATTAACTACTTACATGAAGTATAATTTTCATGCAATGAAATATTTGAAATATTTTAAGTTATAAAACTATAATGGTAGAGAAGTAAGTATTTGAGGCAATTGAAACCTCAGTGTATTTTTTTTAATCATTGTGTATGACTCCTTATATCCTAAGAAGGGTGTTAATGGGGAAAGTATGGGATCTTTCATCTGAAAGACAGGAAACTGGAAGAGTAATGGGTAGCATTCACGGGCTTGTCAGACCTCTGGGACCTCACCCTCCATTGCTCAGTCATGGCATGTCTGAACTAGGTCGCGGGTGTCTTTATCGGAAGTAAGAAGTGAGTTCGTGGGGATGGTTGGCACAATGCAGGTGGGCTGGTCAGTGAGCATTAAGAGACTGGCAATCAGCAGGACTTTGCAAACCTCTGTAGGCCAGTATTAACCAGAATAGATTTCTGAAGAAGTTAAGCTAAAGGGAAAGCCTTCAACAGAAAGAAAAGTGTGTCAAAGTGAGAACTACATGGAGACAAGGGATAGCAGCATCAGTTATGGGCATCCCGAAATACGGAGATGGATCCTGTGAAAGGATCTGAAAATAAAACCTTACAGAGGTAGAAGAAGAAGGCAAATTGTGTCATTTAGTTGTAGAAAGCCCTGGTATTTCTCTGCATATCATTTCTCATTATCTTAGCGCCATAACTACTTCGCTTGGTGTAATACTCGTATTGCGATAATGAACATCTGTTTCCGTGATTACTTGTGGGCCTGTGCTGATTTGGATCTAGGCAAGTTAGACCCAGCAGGAAGCCACCATGGCCTGTGTGTCATCCTCCTTGATGCCCTCGAGTTCACGTGATGAAGCCTCAGCAAGGCCTGCTTCAAGCATCCAAAACTCAAAGTGTCAAAAACCATCCTAGTGATTGTTTCTGTCACTCTGGATGGAATTCCCTTTCCTCGATTTGTCTGTTATTTCTTACCCTTCTTTAGTGAATGTCGTGAAAAGTTATTTCTGGAAAACTTTTGTAAACAACTACCAATAGCATTCTGAAATTATCCTGATCCCCTCTTTGATCATCTCCTTACTCCCCATAATCAAAGAGTACCAAAAATTTGAGTTTTAAAAAAGTGAGGGCCAGGCGCAGTAGCTCAAGCCTGTAATCCCAGCACTTTAGAAGGCCAAGGCGAGAGGATTGCCTGAGACCAAGGGTACGAGACCAACCTGGGCAACTTGGTGAGACCATGTCTCAGCAATAAATCAAAAAATAAACCAGGCGTGGTGGTGGGTACCTGTGGTTCCAACTATTTGGAAGGCTGAGGCAGAAGGAACGCCTGAGCCCTGCAGTCACCGTGAGCATGCCACTGCACTCCAGCCTGGGCAACAGAGTGAGACTCCAATCCAAAAAAAAGAGCAATATTTGTGAAAGCTTTTAATAGATAGACTCTCTGGGGGGGGGGGCATTTGTTTTACCAGAAGTGTAAACAGAGTTATCTTCTCAGTAGCAGTGGACACATGACTGATGGAACTACATTTTTCTCTGCATCGCTCTGGGTGGTGCTTAAGGTGGGGAAGGGTTTCATTTAACGTGTAACAGATGATGAATGCCTAGAATCTGGAATGAGACTCCCTACATTAGAATCCAGATATGCTGCTTACTAACTTGATAGCTTTGGGCAGGTGACTTGATCTTTCTCTGACTCAGTTTCTTAATCTGTATAATGTTTAATAATAGTACATATCTCATAGGGTAGAGTGAGGTCTTGTTAGATCTGTTGTGCATGATGTATGCATAGCATGCCAGCCAAGGCATCAGTAAATGTTAGCAACTGCTGCTACTTCTTTTTTTTGAGTTGGAGTCTCACTCGGTTGCCCAGACTGGAGTGCAGTGGACGCTCCTGGCCACCACAGCCTCCACCTGCTGGGCTCCAGCGATCCTTCCGCCTCAGCCTTCCGAGTAGCCGGAATTACAGGTGCGCGCTACCACGCCCAGCTGATTTTTTGATTTATTGTAGAGATGAGGTCTCGTCTGCCCAGGCAGGTCTCAAACCCGTGGGCACAAGCAGTCCACTCACCTCAACCTCCCAAAGGCGCGGGATTACAGGCTGAGCCACCCAGCCCGGCTGCTGCTACTTCGTATGGACACCACCACCACCGTTTTCAGATTGTAATTTCTACCCAGCTTGCTAAGGATTATTACCCCCAGCTGGGGCAGTCAGTTGTCAAAGGAATTCCCCTGCCTTGATTCTGATTCTGAGCATTCGTGAATGTTTTTATCAAAAATCTAAAGATCTGATAAGTTAGCTGTTAGAAACTATGTTCTGTATCTTAATGACACTGCTGATGTTTTCATTCATTTTCATGTATCTGTAACTCTGGAAGCATTTATATCTTGGATAATAACATCTTACCTTTATTGCATTTTTTTCTTCTTACAGCTAATAGAGAGCAAACAACCAACCAGCCCCTGGGTGAGTAGAGCTTCAAAGTCCATGACCAAAATAAAGTTATTGCATTTAACTCTGGAAGAGATTGAACACGTTTTAATTTACTGTTTTTATAAAATTTGAATAACATTGGGACCAAATGTTTTGTTTTTTAAACATGTAAGAGGAAGTTTAGAAGAGGAAGCTTAAGAATAATTACAGATTCAGTTTCTAGGGTCAAGTCAACTTCTGTGAGTGATTTGCATGTTTCTGGCAACATGCAGACAAACATGTAACCAAAAAGAAACATGTACATATCACATAGTTAACACAGATAAAGAAGTGATTAACACTATCTCTTGGTGGGAGATAGAGATTAGGAAAGCATCCCAGAGGCTGTAATTTGCTTTAGAGTTTGCTTTCCCGTCTTCTCCAGTGGGAAGACGAGAGGATTAGGACAAAATGGAAATGAAGAGTTGCACTTAAAGAATACCTAGAAGAAGAAAATAAAGGGAAAAAAATTAAGAAAGTGGGAGAGGATTCGGGAGATTCATACCATTTAAGTTGAGTAGATTATATTTAAAGATGGATTTTTTTTCCAAAAAGTCAACATCTTAATCCTGGAAAAAGTCAGGTAAAATAATGTCTAAGATTTGTCCACTGGATTCAGCTATTGAAGAAATGATTGATGACTTTCATTGAAGTGTTGAAAGTGCCTAAATGTGTGCCAGTTGCTAAATTATGCTGGGTATTTAAATATGGGTAAAATATATAAAATAGTGGATAAAGTGAGTAAGTGAAGACAGACTACAAATTAATTTGTTGGAAAAAATGATGAGTTGACGTTAACTACATGAGGCATGTATTCAAAGGTTTTTGGGAAGTGGGAAAAATATGAGAATATTTACAGTTGAAGGGGAACGATCTGTTGATATTGTCTAGATTACAGTGATCCATCAAAGAGGGTACAATTTATGGAGCAAGTCCCTAGAAGAGATGTAAGGGATTTGGGCTAAGGTGAAAAAGAGAGAAATTGGCTTTAATCAGAATGTCAGATCTTCTTCTTTTGAGATTAGAAGTAAGGAAAGATTGGAGAAGATGTAGAAGGATTTGCTGGGGAATTGAGGGCATTTTTAGTTGGTGGCTTTTCTTTCTAGGTAATTAAGCATAGTCTATGCTTAAAAGACTGAGTAAGGCTAAATATAAAAATAGAAGCAAGGTGTGACCATCTGTACGTGAAACAGTAATGAGAGAGTCCAACTAAGACTTTTAAAAACTAAGAAGGTATAATGGTACAGATCAACTGTGGGACTTTTCTGTTTCAGAACTCAGCTTTAAAATAGAGAGGTCAGGCCGGCCTCGGTGGCCCAGCCTATCATCCCAGCACTTTGGGAGGCCAAGACGAGTGGATTGCCTGAGCCCGCAGTTCCAGGCAGCTTGGCCAGACCTTGTTTCTACAATAAATCAAAAGTTAGCCAGGCATGGTAGCATGCATCTGCAGTTCCGGCCACTTGGAAGGCTGAGGCAGAAGGATCGCCAGAGCCCAGCAGGTCGACGCTGGGGTGGCCATGAGTGTGCCGCTGCACTCCAGCCTGGGCGACGGAGTGAGACTTCAACTCAAAAAAAGAAAAGGCAGACTGACAAAGTGATCCCTCTGTTCATTTAATAAGTACTTATCAGGTGTCTACTGTGTGCGAGGCACTGTGATAGTCAGTTGTAGAGGGCACATCCAGAAGAGAGCAAGAGAGTTGGATTTGGAGGATTTAACCAAGGTTAAAAATAGCATAGGGAAAGAAAGCCTTGAAAAGGCTAACAAACTGGGAGAAAACGGAGGAAGGAGGAGGTTTGAAAAGTTCACTGAGTTGAAAGAACAAGTACAGTCGGGCAAAACTGTTCAAAGAATGGGAGGTGGTTGAGGTCACAGAGAGGAAATGTCTTGTTTTAGATTTCAGAGGTGATGCAAAATCCAGGTCACGATAATGGAGTTGGGTGGCAGCGAAGGTGAAGGCCCTTGACGCTGAAGAGGACAGGGCCTGTGAATCACCACCCTAAAAAAAAGCTGCTATGATTCATTCATAGTGGTAAGTTCTTGTGTGCTCCAACTGCGTGGTCTTTCCTCTAGATCCCAGACCTCACTGGTTAAGAGGGACCTATTAAAATCATGTTCTGAACAATAGCCATCCTAGTCTATAGAAGCATATGTATGTCTTAAGTACACAGAATAAAATGCAAATGTAACTGGATTGGTTGTTGGAGATGGTTTAATCACAAATAGGCATTTAGTCGTAATACCAATAAGCTTTTCGCTTAGTGAAATATATAGCTTAATCCTGACATGTAGATGTTTTTCTCATTTTTAGTAGGTGAAAATTTAAAGCTGTAAGTGTTTCATAAACTTGCTCAGGATTATGCAGGTTAGTAATTGAGACAGAATTGAAACCCAGATGCCAGTGATCCTATAGCTCCTATTAGCTCCGTTTTTCAGGTATCCATTCTCAAACACATCCTAACTGAAAGAATAACAAGATAAGCTGAATATCAGGTCAGCTTCTATCACTGAAGTTCACCAAGCACTTATCTAATGTCTCATCTATGCTACCCTGTGTGAAGTAAGAGAACAAGCCTTAGTTCCTGAACTCAAGGCATTGCAATCTTAACAGGGGAGTCATTCATTATTAAATGAGTAATACAGTACACGATACATGCCATAGTAGAAATGTGTAAAGAATCTAGAAATTGTTCGTAGAAGATGGTATTCAGATTTGTCTGGGAGAGTCAGGGAAGGCTTTACCTAAGAGGAAGAACCCAGGTGAGGTTTTTCTAGGATACATTGGGAAATCCCAAGTAGACGAAGTGAGAATGTGTGTTGAGGCAGAAGGGGTGAAATTTCATTCAGAAATGAAAGACAAAAAAAGAAGAAGAGATGTGACTTGGTGAGACCGAAGGCAGGAAATAGATCATGTGGGTGAGGAGCAAGCAGTTCGGTGTTGCTGGGAGGGAGGAGACTGGGAAGGAGTGGCCGGGGCTGGACTGGTGGTGTCGTTGTCTGTTGCTGAACAGCGTTATTCTAAATGGACTCTCTTAAGAGCAGCATCTCTTCTCTCTTGTGGTTCGTGAGTTGGACTCCTGTAAGCAGAGGTTCTGCTGGCCTCTCTCGAGGTCTGTCATGTGATTGCAGTCAGATGGTGGCTGGGACTGCAACATCCACACACCTGGCACCTTCGTGAGGGTTGACGAGAGACTGAAAATCAGTTTCTCTGTCTCTCTCCTCCCTTCTTTCTTTTCCTCTCCCTCATTCTCCCCCAGTTTCTTCTCCCTCCTTCATGGCCTCTCCCCTGTAGCTGTTTTTTTTCTTTTCTTTCTTTTTTTTTTTGAGTTGGAGTCTCACTCTGTCGCTCAGGCTGGAGTGCAGTGGCGCACTCACAGCCACCCCAGCATCAACCTGCTGGGCTCCGGCGATCCTTCCGCCTCAGCCTTCCAAGTAACCGGAACTACAGGCATGTGCTACCAAACCCGGCTAATTTTTTGATTTATTGTAGAGATGAGGTCTCACCAAGTTGCCCAGGCTGATCTCAAACCTGCAGGCTCAGGCAATCCACTCACCTTGGCCTCCCAAGGAATAGATTACAGGCTGAACCACCAAGCCCGGCCCAGCTGTTTTCTTTATGTGGTGACTGGATCCCCAAAGTGGAAGCCGTCAGGTCTTTGTAAGAAGCCTTAAACCCAGAACTGATACAGTGTCACACATTCCATTGCTCAAAAGTCACAGTGCAGCCCAGGTTCAGGGGTGCAGGTGACTATACTCCCAGGACTATACTCCCAGGACAAAGATACCATGGTTCATCTATTACCACAGCTGGAAATGTCGGCATGGCCTAGAGTGTGAATGGCCTTGCATGCCAAACTACAGAACTTTGACTTTATTTTGTAGAACATCAAGAGTCGTTAAAATATTTAATACATGAGAATAACGAGGGCTATATACTTAAGCTGGCTAATACTCAATTTTTGATAGACATCCAAAGATTTTTTTATTTAACAAATACTTGATAGCATTTCATATGTGCCAGGTCCTTTTCTAGATGTTATATAATATTAACTCATATTGGATAAGTAACAGCAATTCGAAGTATTAGACATGGAATTAATGATATAGCACTGTACCAATGTTTGAAGAATGTATTGCATTAAGCTTTGGAAAGTGTCTAGGATCGTTTATTTAAAATATCTTTCTGAAGTAGTTTCATTATTCTTTTGCTTAATCAATTGGCTTTTTAGTTTCCTTTTTCCAATAAATGGTTTGTGTTCAAGAAGTTGTGGGTGGCTGTTACAGTAAATGTTTTTCAACCGAAAATTTCTTTCATTTATCACTTGAAAACCATCATAAATTGCTTATGAACCTGCTGTCTTGAAGTATGTTTTTATTCCTCACTCTTAACTCCTCAAATTCAAGTGCACTGTTCCTTTCTCTGTTGTGTTTCTGAAGTCTGATTTTCTTTTTCCTTTCTACAACTAATTTCCTGAAATGGGTCTCCTCCCTCTCTTCTTTCAACCATGGCAGTCTGCTTCTCTATTATAAATCCACCCCCAGTTTGCCTGCTAGGAACTGGTTTACAAGAGCATTGGACAAGGTAAGATTTACTTACCCGTCACCTTTTTTACCACTAAATTCTAGAAAATGCTCTACTGTATCTTAGGAACTAGCTATTAAAAAATTATCATTGGGGAAAAATTTTAGGAGAGCTACTGGCAATTATTGATATACACAAAGTTCTCTCTTCTTCATTATTTCCCCTCACCCACTCTGATGCAAATTCTTCCTGTCTCTCTTAGTTATCTCTCTTGTTATTAGTCTCTTTCATTCTAAGCAAAAAGAACCTAATTTGATAAGAATTCAGTGTCAAACATTCCTTGTTTAAATTTGCTCTAAAAGTCTGGTTGAATACTGTATTCTTTCTTTTGTTGTAATTCGATAAATATTCAATATTAATTACCATTATGTTTCCTGTGCAGCCAATGAATATCCTTGACCTGGTTCTCAAAAGCATCAATAGGATTCATTTTAATTGTTTGACTTTTCTTAGCCTCTTGTGTTCCTCAGAGTATATTAGTCTGCTTCATAAAATAATAGTTCTAAAATGAAATTAAATAATAATGGAGGCTGGGCTCAGTGGCTCAGCCTGTAATCCCAGCGTTTTGGGAGGCCAAGGTGGGTGGATTGCCCGAACCCATGGGTGCGAGACCCGCCCAGGCAACTTGGCGAGACCTCATCTCTACAATAAATCAAAAAATTAGCCGGGCGTGGTAGCACACGCCTGTAGTTCCAGCTACTTGGAAGACTGAGGCGAAGGGATCACTGGAGCCCAGCAGGTCGAGGCAGCAGTGACTGGGAGCGTGCCACTGCACTCCAGTCAGGGTGATGGAGTGAGACTCCAACTCAAATATATATATATAAAATAATTATAATAATAATGGAATCCTATCTGAAATGAAATTATGTAATCTTAAAGTATATTTCTTATTATAATGATACAATTTCCATAGCTTTTGTTTTCATCCTTGTGTCTTCCTCTAAATGCTACCACCACCACCCCCCTTTTTTTTTACAGCAAAGGACAAGGTTGCCCTTTTGATAGGAAATATGAATTACCGGGAACACCCCAAACTTAAAGCTCCACTGGTGGATGTGTATGAATTGACCAATTTATTAAGGCAGCTAGACTTCAAAGTTGTTTCCCTGCTGGATCTCACTGAATATGAGATGCGTAATGCTGTGGATGAGTTTTTACTACTTTTAGACAAAGGAGTATATGGTAAGATATTTATAATCCTTGTTTGTATAATGATCTTCTATTCTTTTCGTTATGCAAGTTAGGTTGACTTGAAAATTAGCTAAAGGTGAGATAAATGCAGTGAATGGAAGTTTTATTTTTCTTGTAAAAATGATAGATTTAATCTTTTTTCCATATGAATAGCTAATTACTTAATGTCGTTATTTATGTTTCTTGTTTTGTCAAAACAATATTGTTTTTATCAGAATCCTCACGTGTCTTTTGTGATTTTGTTTTTTATGGGCTACCAGAGCCACAGCCTAGTAAAACCTGATGACCAAATAGAAAAATGTACATTTGTGTGTTAAAATACTGTGTGAGTTTTGGGGGGTTTTCTTAAGCATAAAAGGCACTAGCAGAATGTGCATTATGTTTGTTTCCTTTTTCTAATTATTTCATGGTATTTTTTAGTTTTTTAGTTGGAACTAGAATTTAACAAGGAAGTGTTGGCGAATAGGCATATGAAAACCATCTGCAAGGTTCTATACAGATATGGTTAGAGTTGCCGTAAATTCGTCATGGTGTTCCCCATTTTTCACTTAACTATGTTAAAGAACGGTGCATCTATGGTAAAGAATTCTAAAAGACACAGAGCACACTGTCAGTAGCAAGTTATTTCCTCGGTAATTTGCTTCAAGATGAGAAGGCCATCTCTGAGCTCACTTGAACCTGTTTCTCAGGATCGTGCTTCCCTCGACATTGTACAATGACCTCGAACTGCCAGGAAAGTGACATTTCCAGGCATGGTGTTAGGCATGCACATGATAAACGAAAGTATTCATTTGGCTTCTGTTTCTTTCAAATGATTTTACTTTAATAATCTCTGAACTTAACCTCATGATTTATGATTAGATTGATACGTGGGGCTAACTTGGTGGAATTGCTAATGGTTCTTAAAGTAGAATTTTTACTGGCAAAAGCCATTTTTTTTCAAGATGTACCGCACTGCTGTATAAAAGATGAGGAAAAGGCTTAGAATGTTTATTTACATGAGTTTTTTCCTCTAAATCATGAGGATCACTGTTGTAACACAAATGAAATTATAAGGTAAACACCTTAAATTTGAGATTTTAGCTATAACTTCAGCTATATTCTGATAATATAACTTTGCTTATGATCATTAATGGAGTGACGACTAATGGCTAATCAGAGTTTCTTATGAAAATATGAAAGAATATATTATATAAATATACCACCTTGATAACTGGCTTATGCTGGCTGAGCATTCCTAATCCAAAAATTCAAAACCTGAACACATGTGAGTGCTGACACGATGCCACAGGTGGAAAACTCCACACCCGACTTCATGTGATGGGGTTGCAGTCAAAGCTTTGTTTCGTGCGCAAAATGGCTTAAAATATTGTCTACAATTCCCTTCGGGGTATGTGTATAAGGTGTCTATGAAACAGATGAATTTCATGTTTAAACTTGGGTTCCATCCCCCACCGTATCCCATTATGTATTTGCAAATATTCCAAAATCCAAAAAAATCCTAAATCCAGAACACTTCTGGTGCCAAGCATTTCGGATAAGGGATAACCAATCTATATTTTTAGTCTATAATCAGGTGATTTGTTTGAGTATTTTTATATTATAAACTTTAGCTCAGTTTCAAAAGTACCTGCATGGCTTAAATGAGAAAAGGCTTCCAGAACCTCACCAGAAGTGATGAGGTATAAGGAAAAAACATTGACTAAGTTAGGTTTCTTTGTCAGTGAAATATTTAGAATGAGGGAATTATATGAAGAATTATGACCTTGAATGTGTATTCTCATTTCTTGTTGACGTTGTCACATTGGCTTCTTCATTCGTTTGTTTGACTTTTAAAATCAAAACCTTTCATTGCCCTTGCTAAACAGAGAACTGGAAATTTTTATAAGTTGTGGCATGATTTCAGTTTAGGCTGCTGCTTTGCCCACTGTGAAAACATCATCTTGGAGTACAGAGTCCAGAGGCAAGTTACAGCAACATGGCAGCTTAAGAAAGCTAGAAAATTATTAAATCCTACTGATTCATGTCTTAACAGGGTGGCTGCATTATATTTTGAAGTGTTGTGACTATCCCAAACATCAGGCACATCTGCATTAAATGTAAGTGTGGTAGAGGCTTGAGGCATTTCTCTCTTGGCCTTCGCCTTGACCTCTGCATTTCTCTTTTGGCCTTCGCCTTGACCTCTGGTTGATGTCCCCCGGAGGACTCAGAGGACTCGGCAGTGGGGGAAGGTGAAGGCAGGTCCCAGGAATTCAGCATGAGCACCTTTAGATACGGGGCCAGAGGGACTCGGGGTCGTGCCCTTTTGTTTTGTGTTGCCCTTGGGTTTGGAAAAGAAATAAAACTTACAACAGAAGCGAAAATAATTCACTTTTAGGCATGCCTAAACTTCAAAAACAAGAACCAAAAACAGGAATGACAGATTTAGACTCCCTGTCCTTGAAGATAAACAAGGACAAAGATTTCTAGCTATCTTACGTGGACAGCTAGGAGCAGGAGCGGCCATTCAGCCTGATAGCGATCCACCAAATGTCTTTCTGGATTCATCACGCAATGTAGCTCAGCCGTGTTTCTGTGGAGAAGAATTTCAAAGGAGTCTGCTCAGAATAGGGCAGAAGCCGTCTTCACCTGGAGGTGGCATTCAGCTCATGTCGCCCAGTGGTTAGGCAGTGGGCCTTGGGGTCAGCTGGCCTGGGTTCAAAGCTCGGCTTTTCTGCTTACTAGCTATGTGACTGTGCCTGTGTGGCTTTCTAAGGCAAGGGGATCTATAAATTAATGAGTTGTTGCAGGATAAGTGAAATAAAATATTCCCATGTTTGGTACACTAAAAATGCTCAAAATATTGTAGCTGCTATTATTGTCACTTCCTGAGAATTTATTAAAGAAATTCCAGCACTTTCTCATCTTCAGATGGGGTGTTTGGACTAGGTAGCATTCCACGTCGGCCCTCAATTAGAGAAACCCAGCTTGCATCCATTTTTATGTGTTAAGGATCTGCCTGAGGCTTCTTTTGAGGAAAGAAAAGGGGGTTGTTTGTTTTTTTAAGCTATAATATAGTGAAACAGTGAAAAACTGGTACACTGACATTTTCTATTTTCCGAGCATAAAGTTATCTAAAAATCCAGCAGTGAATTAGAGACAATATAACATAGCATGATGGTTGAGCTGGCCTGCATGCCAGCTGTTCTGTTCTATCACTTGTTGGTCATTTGAGTTTGGGTGAGCTTTTAAACCTCTCAGCGTCTCCATTTTTACATCTGTAAAAGAGGGATGATAATATTACACACCTGGTTACGAAGTGTAAGTTACGGACTCGTGCGAAGTAATTTAACTAGAGAGCTTTCCCGGAACCATGCCTGGCACACAGGGAGTGCCGTGTTAGCACGCCAGGAGTGGTGGTTGATGTTCTATTCAGAGCGCTGTGCTAGCTGAGTGCGCATTCACTCAAGTGGGAAGGGCTTTCTGATCGGTTGTCTAAGTAATACCAGTTGCTGAAATGGCACTGTTTCTAATAACAGCCAGGCCCTTGAAAAAAGACTTCAGCATTGGCTCTGTCTTGAGCAGTTTGTTTGCATTGTTCATTTGAGTATTTGCTGAGTTATTCCTGTTACATTCATGGTCCAGATAAGGACTGTGGTGCATGCTGAGGGAGAGAATAGAGAATAAAGAACAAAATCCATCCTCCTGACCGGGCTCAGTGGCCCAGCCTGTAATCCCAGCAATTTGGGAGACTGAGGAGAGTGGATTGCCTATGCCCGTGGGTTCGAGACCTGCCCGGGCAACTTGGCGAGACCTCGTCTCTACAGTCAGTCAAAAAAATTAGCCAGGCGTGGTAGCACTCGCCTGTACTTCTGGCTACTTGGAAGGCTGAGGCGGAAGGATCACTGGAGCCCAGCAGGTCGAGGCTGTGGTGGCCAAGAGCATGCCACTGCACTCCAGCCTGGGCAGCAAAGTGAGACTTCAACTCAAAAAAAAAAGAAAAATCCATCCTCCTAAGAAAATTATAGTCCCCTAATATAATGGGAAAGAACACTGTATATGGAATCCAAACACCTGCCAGCTTCAATCATTTAATCATTTAAACTTAATTTTCTCATCTATAAAATAAGGGTGGATGGAACTTATTTCAAGATTATTATATGGATTAAAGTCAGATTGTATATGTGAAAGTACTTTAAAAACCAAGAAAATGTTATACAGGTTGACATCCCTGGTGCAAAAATCCAAAACACTTCTGGTCTCAGACATTTGGGACAGAAGAAACTCAGCCGGTACAAATGTAAAAGATCAATGTCACTATGATTATTTTTTAATCAGAAAAACAGAGTAGACAGGATTGTACAATATCAGCAAAAGCCATTACATGATTGTATCAAAAAGTGCTGCTGCAGCATTTCACGGTAGGGAAAGGTTGAAGTATGTTAGAAAACTACAAACCAGGTGGGAACATGCCGAGGGCTCTGAACTGCAGAGATAACCCTGGAGGACTGGTTATGGGGTGGGTAGACAGCAAGGAGACAGAATAACTAGAGTTGTGGAGGTTGAAAATAAGCTTTTCTGCTCTAGAAGCAATAAAGAGACCGATGGGAAATGAGTCATTATTTAAATATGTTTTGTTTTTAAGAGTCATTATTTTGAATGCTTGGTAGAGGGATATAAATTTTACTCTTTTGAAGGATATAATTCAGTGGTCTCTATTTATTTACAAACTCTGAACGTTTCATCACCCCCAAAAGAAACCCCGTACCCACTAGGAGTCACCCCCCACATTCCTCTTTACCCTGGGCCCTGGCAACCACAAGTCTGCTTTCTGTTTCTGTAGATTTGCCTGTTCTGGACATTTCACGTAAGTGGAATCACTCAGTGTGTGTGGCCGTTGATGACTGGCGTCCTTCACTTAGCGTGATGCTTCCGGGGTTCATCTCTGGTATTGCTTGCACTATGACTTCCTTTTTAGGTCTGGATAACATTCCATTGTATGATCGTGCCCCTTTTTTTTTGTCCATTCATCACCAGGTGGACATTTGGGGATATTATTAATAAGGCTGCTGTGAGCATTTGTGTGCACACTCTTGTGTAGACAGAAGTTTCTAGCTCTCTTGGGTATGTACCCGGGAGTGGAATTCCTGGGTCATATGGTCATTCTATATTTAACTCTTCGAGGAACTGCTGAGCTCTTTCCCAAGTTCTTACATCATTTTATATTTCTGCCAGAAATGAAGGAGTGCTCCTGTTTCTCCTCGTCTTTGCCAACACTTGCTCTTGTCTGTCTTTTTGATTACAGCCATTCTGTAGGTATGAAGTGGTTTAGATTTGCATTTCACTGGTGGCTAATGAGCATCTCTGCTTGTGCTTATTTGCCGTTTGTATGTCCTCGGGGGAGAAGTATTTATTCAGCTCCTTGCCTATTTTTAAACTGAGTTATTTGTCTTTTTAATGATGAAAAAGAAGAAGATGAATGATGCATAAAGAAAAAGTTCTTTATCCTGGATACAAGTTGTGCTTATCAGTAAATGACTTGCAAATATTTTCTTCCGTTGTGTGCATTGTCTTCTCTTCACCTAACCTTCACTGTTTATTGAATTAAATCTACGCCCTTTGTCAGAATTTTCAGAACTCTGCTTGCCTGTGCGGTCCTTTTTTTAAATTCCCTGTCTGCACCCTCTTATTTCTTATTTTCATTCGCCAGCAGTGCCAGTCTCTTTTCTGTTCACTCTCACTCCAGGGCCAACGTCATCAATTTCTATTCTCTCGCTCTTTCTCTGTCTCTACCTCTCTCTAGCTCTCCTTTTCCAAATTCTCCCCATTCTCTTAAGATCATGTCCTGTTGTTTCACCTAATTCTGATCTTCCTCTCTGCACTTGACTCACTTCATACATGGTTGCCCCAATAACATGAGTTTTGGCATTTAATTACATGCTGATTTCATTGTTGCTTAGTAGCACAAGCACACCTGAATCTCCAGCAGGGTTGGCAAGCAGGACCTTGTCTTGTGTCTTTCTTTTTCCTTGCCCTCAGGCTCCGATGACACTCAGTGCACACAAGCTGCTGTATAAACCCATCCTGAATAAGTTAATATGTTTGTTTTCTCATTTTACCTGAAATGCTGTCTAGGAAAGAACCATTTTTCTCATTGAAATAGAAATTCAAGAAAAGCAGAAGCCCTGGATTCTGTCCTGTAGGACCAAGTGGAGTAAATCATCTTTAGTTCTCCAGGCCACTTTCCCTGCTTGGAGTTGGAGCTATAATCGCAATGGATGGGCTATTTTTGGTTCCCTAAATGCTGTTTGCTATAAGCTTTAAAATACTATGTAAAGAAATCATTATATCTAGAATATTGAGAGACTGCAAGCGTAGGGGAGTATCTCTTCAAAAGTATTTCTATTAAATGTTTTTATAAGGAAGTCCATACTGGTATTTTTATGTTTTTTACAGCCAAAACAAACTTCTTTTCAAGAAAGTGTTTAGAGCTTTTTAGTGCCTTTTTTATATCATTTCTCAGTAAGGAAATGTGATTCATCCATTGAGTCCTAAAATTAACCCAAATTTTAGATGATTAATTCAAAAGACTCTAGATGGAAAATTAGTGATATTTCTGTTTCATAACAAAAAAACAGTAATCTGTGAAATCAGATTTCCCCTCTCTGATTATAAATTTACATTTGTATTTTTATAGCCCTTTGCTAATCTTTACAGTAAATTACCCTACAGAGGTTCTTGACTTTATACTGTAGTTACTAGTCATCTGAACTGTGTGTGTTTGTTCACCCGTTAAATACTTCCTAAAGCTCCTGCTCTGTGCCAGAAATACACAAATAAATAAATGTAAGACTATGTTGGCCCTGCAGGAACTCCTGGCTTCCTGGAAGAGACAGATGAGTCAGGAAAGAAAAATCCTAGCAGTCTTCTTTTTTATACATCATGACATAAAATTGCATTTTCTATCATACCTTGGTTGCAACTGTATTAGTTGTATGAATTAGAATACACTTTGGACGGCATTTTGAAGTCATTTTAAAATGCAGAATTTAAGTGCAGACTACTGCCAAAGTAATTTTAAATGTAAACTAACATTGTCTGTAGTTCTAATTGGGTATTTCTTAAATGTGCTTACATCAGCTTGAAGAAAATAAAAGTTAGTTTAAATAATTATACTACCTATATGTTCAGAGTACATTTAGAATTGACGTCTACCTCTTTTTTCCTGTCTTTTCAGGGTTATTGTATTACGCAGGACATGGTTATGAAAACTTTGGAAACAGCTTTATGGTCCCTGTTGACGCTCCAAATCCATATAGGTCGGAAAATTGTCTCTGTGTACAAAATATACTGAAATGGATGCAAGAAAAAGAAACTGGACTCAATGTGTTCTTGTTGGATATGTGTAGGAAAAGGTAAGATTTCTCATCTTTATTAAACAACTATTGGAGTTAAATGTCAACTTTGACAAATTAGGCAAGCCTGTGAAGTGCTAACAGCCATTTGAAGTTGTGAATTTTAACTTACACATCAAGACTGGAAGATAAAACTAGAGGAAATATATTTACTCCGTGTGTATCTAGTTATTTTAACCCTTTTCCTTATTGCTGTAGAGCACAGCGAAGAACGAAGAACAAAAGGGTGTGGGTATGGACTTGGAGTACAAGGGGTTCAGCTCTCTAGAAATGCCTGTAGCTGCGTCTGATGAGCACTGCAGTTAGTCCCTCGGGAATCAGTAAAGCCAGCACCCACAGAACCAGGGCGTCTGGTCACTCTATAAGTCGTGGTCTTGCAGATGCAGAACGTGTAGCTGAGGCAGATGCCTGGAGGCTTAGGTCCCATGTGTCTGCCATTGCCTTGCTAAGGAAGAGAACCGGTGAGGATTCCTCGCAGAGTACAGTTTTGTGTGTGCTCGGCATTTGCCCGTCAAGTACAACTCGCCAGAGATCAAATGTAACTCCAGTTTTAAAGCTTAACAAGAGAAAAGATGTGACTCTCCGCTGTCTTAGTCGAGTGGGAGCCCTAGATTGCTTTTTGATAAATATGTAGCGAACTAGAGGAAGAGATTTTGAATCTATCATCTTAAAATGTGTGTATTAAAACAGTATTGTTCTTTCTCATTATATTTATATCTGTCCTTCTCTCGTCCACTGTAAACAGAAATGACTACGATGACACCATTCCGATCTTGGATGCACTAAAAGTCACTGCCAATATCGTGTTTGGATATGCCACGTAAGAAAATTTCATGTTGATTTTGAAGATTCCTCTATTCCTTGATATCTCCTTTGATTATAGATTAGAGGCCTAGAAATACCTACGGACATTTAGGCATAAATTGACCTTCTTGATATGCTTGGCAGAAAATTTTAAATAGTTGACTTTGGCATTTCGTATTTTGGTATCTTATCACTGAGCCCAAAGGCATTTTGTTTCTGCCTCAAGATGAACTCTTTAGTTAGGGATGTCATAGGAGGGGCGGGAAAAAGCATGGGGCTCATCAGTGTCTATGAAAGTCTTATGTAGCAAGTGTTTGCTTTCTAAAAATTTTTCCATTGAAAAAATATTTATTAAAGATTGAAAAATTATAATTGTATATTTTATGGAGTACAAAGTAATGCTGTAATTTATATATTCAATGTGGAGTGACTGACTCAAGATAATTAACATACTCATCACCTCACTCAAATACCTTTTTTTAAAATTATTTTCTTGAGTAGGAGTCTCGTGTCTCACTCTGTCGTCCAGGCTGGAGTGCAGTGGTGTACTCACGGCCACCACAGCCTTGACCTGGGTTCAGGTGATCCTTCCGCCTCAGCATTCCAAGTAGCTGGAACCATAGGCATGGTTACCATGCCTGGCTAATTTTTTGATTTATTATAGAGACCAGGTCTTGCAAAGTTGCCCAGGCTGGTCTCGAACCCCGGGCCCAGGCAGTCCTCTCACCTCTGCCTCCCAAAGTGTTGGGATTACAGGTATGAGCCACTGCACCCAGCCAAATAACATTTTTGTCCACCTATCTAACTGAAACATTGTACCCTTTGACCAACAACTCCTTCTTTCTCTTACCTCCCAGCCTCTAATAACTCTGCTTTTGTGAGTTCATTTTTTTTTTTTTTTTAGCTTCTGCATCTAAATGAGAACACGCAGTATTTGCCTTTCTGTGCCTGGTTTATTTCACTTCCTCCTTTTGCTGTTTTTAGGTGTCAAGGAGCAGAAGCTTTTGAAATCCAGCATTCTGGATTGGCAAATGGAATCTTTATGAAATTTTTAAAAGCGAGATTATTAGAAGACAAGAAAATCACTGTGTTACTGGATGAAGTTGCAGAAGGTAAAACAAAAAACAGAGAAAACTACCAGAAAAGGAGAGAGAGAGAGAGAGAGAGAGAAGGAGGGAGGGAGATAAGCCTACCCGGGGTCTCTGATTGGTGATCAGTGTATTCGCACTGTTGTCGCGTGGGTTTGGAATTAGTATTTGCTTTATGAAATAGTTATTAATATAATCTTCAGCAACATTCCTGCTATTGAACGTGTTCCTTTCTCCCCTCTTGGCTTAGCCGCAAGCCATCTGTGTAGCATCACGTAGACTATAGGGCTGACCCCAGACACAATTGTGAAATAAAGTTTAATCCTCACACTCCACCAAATTTCTGCGACTAGTACCTGGGGGTAAAGATCTATTTATGTGCTAAAAAAAATGTTTTTCAAGTTGTCCTGTAAACAGTCTCTCCCCGGATTAGAGAAACAAAGCTTTACAGAAATTTTGAGACCCTTCTAGAAAAAGCTGAGTTTGTTTTTTGCCTCCATGAACTTGACCAGTAGTATTAAAATCCTGCTTTAAGGATGTGACCCTAGAGGTCTAACACCTGATCTTCCACTTCCATCTGTCCCCTCCTCTGCCTGCAGGTGTAAGCTGCATCCCTGTCAGATACTGCATAAGTACTATACTTGTTACGTCAGCAGACTGCAGTCTGTTTTCAGAAATGGCATTTTATAAGCCATATCAGGCAGTAGGTAACTTTTGCAAGCCAGCACCGCTAGAAAATGAAGTTCATGGATGCTCCAGAGACAGCAGTTTGAGTATAAGGCCTCTCCCTAACAGCTGTCAGCCATATTGCTTTCATGTTTTTAAACCATGTAGACATTTTGACTAGATCACTTGACTTAACCGCTTTTCCACTTCACATGGCCTGCCAGGCTTTGGACTTCCTCTTCACCTTCTGCTTCAACCAGAGAAGTTCTGCTTTTATATGTTTTATATAATTAGGCCTCTTCTTAAGCTCACATTTGAAGAAATGGTTTTGCTGCTTAAAAAAAATTCAAACCTTTGGATTCTATCCATTATATTCAAACTGAGATCCATTAAGTTGCTTCAGAGACTCTGAAGCGTTTAATTCTAATGGGTTTTTTTGTTGTTGTTTTTTTGAGTTGATATCTCACTCCGTGGCCCAGGCTGGAGTGCAGTGGCATGCTCACAGCTACCCCAGCTTCGACCTACTGGACTCCAGCGATCCTTCCGCCTCAGCTTCCAAGTAGCTGGAACTACAGGCCTGCGCTACCATGCCCGGCTAATTTTTTTTTTTTTTTTATTGTAGAGACTAGGTCTCACCAACTTGCCGGGGCGGATCTCGAACCCACAGACTCAGGCAGTCCACTCGCCTCTGCCTCCCAAAGTGCTGGTATTATGGGCTGAGCCACCAAGCCCAGCCTAATTTCATTTTTTAGCACATATTTTATGACTTAGAAAAAGGACCATGCTCACCCATATATAACATTTACCAAGTTGTCATGACAGTGAATGGCATCCCAGTATGTGCTGTGGGTATATTTAAATTCCTTATAAACCTCTTAGAAAAATTTTGCTTTTCACTGATCTTTTCCAGACCTGCCATATCCTCTTAATTATGCTTGTCCAGGCAAGTGCATACTATAGTATACATAGAACACACTCAGTTCAGCACCACACACATTGTTCCCATTATGGGCAATGGCCAGATATTGTACAAAATCATTCAATCCTCAGTTAATATCATGATAATACGGTACAGTTAGATTTAGCACTTTTTTTTTTTTTTTTTTGGTGGTAAAGAGCAAAAGTAATTGTGAGAAATTGTTCACAATCCATCCAACTTTGAAACAGAGCTTAGCTGCTCCTGTCTTTGGATCTCCTGGATTACTTAATTGAAAAATATTCAGGGGAAAAAGTATTTAGAGACCGTAAACCAAGCAGTTGGAGGGGAAAAAAATATCCATTTCAACTGTGCAAGACAACATATGAAATAAATTGGTTGCTACTCTGAGGCTACAGCCATCAGGATTTTCATTTTTACACTATTTAGCATTTAGCATTATTGTTAAGCTGATTGAAATAGCAAAAATCCTAATCTAGTTCTGTGAATGTGGCCTTAAGGTACCTGAAAACCATTTTATTAGAAGCATAAGTGTTTTAAATGTTTATGTTTTCTTAGTGAATTGAATCTTTTCTCATTATGTGGTGATCCTTACATCCCAAATAATGCTTTTTGCCTTTGATATATTAATAGAGCCACACAAGCTTTTAATCCAATCCAATAACCTTTCTTTCAACTAGAAAATTTAGTTCAAGGCCGGGCTCGGTGGCTCAGCCTGTAATCCCAGCACTTTGGGAGACCGAGGTGAGTGGATTGCCTGAGGCCGCGGGTTCGAGACCCGCCTAGTCACCTCGACGAGACCTCATCTCTACAACAAATCAAAAAAAAGAAAATTTAGTTCACTTACTTTTGTTGCTTTTTGTACTGTTTTAACCATCTAATTTTTTGGATTTGGCTCATTTTTCCTATTTTTTATCTTTTTAAAAATTTAGTTCTATATCTCTTCTTCCCTAACAAATAACAAGTTCTGAATGGTTATAGATATATTTTTGTCTTTGTCTCTCTTTTCTTTTTTTTTTTTTTTAAAGTCAGGGTGTCACTCTGTCACCCAGGCCAGAGTACACTGCAACCTCGACCTCCTGAGCTCAGGTGATCCTTTCCACCTCACCCTCCAGAGTGGCAGGGGCTGCAGCCACACACGACCACAGTCAGATGGCTTTTTTAATTTTTTGCAGAGACAAGGTCTTGCTATGCTGCCCAGGCTGGTCTCGAGCTCCTGGGCTCAACCCATCCTCCCACCTTGGCCTCCCAAAGTGCTGGGATTACAGATGTGAGCCACTGTGCCCAGCCTCTCTCTTTTTTCTAACCTTATATTATTTAAAAATAACGGCACAGATTTGGAATATTTCTATGTGTGTATAAAAGGTGTGAGGTTTTACTTCTATAGTTTTTCTCCCAGATGAGTAACCCTACTTTCCCAAGATTGTATTATTTTGCTACTATTTAATAATAACAATATACAGAAGTAGAATAAATTGTAACTTATTGATACCAGACTATAATAGTTTTTAATTGCCGTGTGTTAGTATATATTAGTCTGTATCTAAAACATGTTAAGGGAACGCTTATTCTATTTTATGGAACGAAGTGTTGCCTGATTCTAAAATAAAAAATAAATAGAACATGTTGAATGAAAATAGCATGTTACAAAAGCATGCATTTAACATTTTTTGTCCAAAACCTAAAACATTGGCACATACTATTTACGAATGCCTACATATGAATAAAAAATTAAAGTTGTCCATGAGAATATAGCCACTACATGGAGTAATGGTTGCCTCAAGAGGGAGGGGAGTGACGATGGTGCTGTAGCCAGATGGGTGGTTTTAACTCATTTCCTGTTTTTGGGGGGGGAGTCCTTTTTGAGGGGGGATTTGAGTTGGAATCTCACTCTGTCACCCAGGCTGGAGTGCAGTGGCATGTTCATGACCACCCCAGCGCTGACCTGCTGGGCTCTGGCGATCCTTCTGCCTTAGCCTTCCAAATGGCCAGGACTACAGGCACGCACTACCACTTCCGGCTAATTTTTTATTTATTATAGAGACGCGATCTCACCAAGTTGTCCGGGCTGGTCTCAAACCCGCGGCCTCAGGCAGTCCACTCACCTTGGCCTCCCAAAGTGCTGGGATTACAGGCTGAGGCACTGAGCGCAGCCACGTTTCCTGTCTTAAAAATAAAGATACCCGGCCAGGTTCAGTGGTTCAGCCTATAATCCCAGTACTTTGGGAGGCCGAGGCAAGTGGATTGCCTGAGCCCGCAGGTTTGAGACCCACCCAGGCAACTTGTGAGACCTCATCTCTACAATAAATCAAAAATTAGCCGGGCATGGTAGTGCATGCCTGTAATTCCGGCTACTCGGAAGGCTGAGGCGGAAGGATCGCCAGAGCCCAGCAGGTCGCGGCTGCGGTGACCGGGAGTGGCCACTGCACTCCAGTCTGGGCGACAGAGTGAGACTCCAACTCAAAAACAAAAACAAAAAAAAATATCGACTGTGATAGAAACAATAAAACCCAGAAGTAGTACAGATATTCAAGAGTAGCAGAATGACTAAAGCAGGGGTCCCCAACCCCTGCTTCATGACGCTGGTCCATGGCCTCTTAGGAACTGGACCACACAGCAGGTGAGTGGCAGGCAAGGAAGCAAAGCTTCATGTATTTACAGCCACTCTCATCGCTCCCATGACCGCCTGAGCTCTGCCTCCTGCCAGATCAGCAGAGGCATTAGATTCTCATAGGAGTGGGAACCTTTTTGTTTTTTGGGTTTTTTTTCAGTTGGAGTCTCACTCTGTCACCCAGACTGGAGTGCAGTGGCCGCTCCCGGTCACCGCAGCCGCGACCTGCTGGGCTCTGGCG